GTACTTATCAAAGTCGTAATTATCGATGAAAACTAAAGTTACTTGGAATTTTATATGTAAAAGCATATATTGGGTCATCTAAAAAGTATCCGCGGTTTTTGTCACTAAATGTGTTGACCATCAACCGCGGATTCTTTTTAGATGACCCAATATTTTACTCGTTTCAACAGCTGTTGGATCGTGTGTTTCTACTCAAATATAGGCTCACTTTACATGCCTTTTACAACCATTTACTGACTGTCAAGGGACGAAAGGACAGTTTTCATCGATTTTTACAAATGTTTTAAAGTGATCTCGTTATTCACATATTCATGCATAAAAAAATTTTTTCGAAGTGCCACTACTCAGTACCATGATTAATTCTTTATTTTGTTACTTATAAATAATGAATACTATGTGTATCTGTGTAAAATTTTGCGATTGTATTAAACTTTATTAACACATGTACAAGGAGTATTTTAAATTTTAATATCTACATAAAATGCGCTGCTGCTTGATTGTATTGGGTCATCTAAAAAGTATCCGCGATACTTTGTCACTAGATATATGACCATCAACACACATCTAGTGACAAAAAACCGCGGATACTTTTTAGATGACCCAATACAATCAAGCAGCAGCGCATTTTATGTAGATATTAAAATTTAAAATACTCCTTGTACATGTGTTAATAAAGTTTAATACAATCGCAAAATTTTACACAGATACACATAGTATTCATTATTTATAAGTAACAAAATAAAGAATTAATCATGGTACTGAGTAGTGGCACTTCGAAAAAATTTTTTTATGCATGAATATGTATAAATATGTATAAAAATACATAAATATTCACAACATATATAATCATATAATCAATTATGTTCATACTCATCAATTATGTTCAATCTCTTTCTTTTGTAAAATTACTTTTTAATGTGATAGATATAATAATAATGTGTATAAATTTTCGCATTCATTTTAAAATGAAAAACAAGTTTGGAAAAATATAAAAAAATTGCTCATACACAATTATGTATAATTTTATATATAATTATTACATAAGTAAGTTTTTTATATTCTTTCAAACTTGATTTTTTTCTAAAACAAATAGTGTGAAAATTACTTTTTTATAATAATTATTTTTAATGTTTTCACATTACTATTATTATTTCTATTACTAAAAAGTAATTTTACAAAAGAAAGAGGGATGTATGAATAAGTACGGATATATTTTATATATGATTATATGTACATGTTTATGAATATTTATGTGTATTTATACATATTCATACATAATAAATTTTTTATCGGGACATAGATACACATAACAAATTTTCACTTTTTTTATTCTAACGCAAATTATTTTATCACATTTTCGTTTTTATCAATGCATTCTTCCCTAAAAGTTTTAATATTTAGTAATATTACAAACCTTGTAAAGTACCAAGGTGTACACACACAACACAACGCATACATACACATTTAGGAATAACGTTTCTAATTAAATTATTTCTAATTTATCTGTTACTTTCAAGATGTTTGTGATATTGATCTAAAACAAAGGCATATTTGTAATAACTATAATATAGCTGGCAATGCAAGAGAGAACATGTAAATAAAATGTGCTTTGTGACAGATTTTCTATCTTATAAATTGATGATACATTTGTACGTGTAAATTAATAATGGCTCTAATTTTCAAATGCGTATAACATCAAAGAAATTATTTATTTCACAAAGAATTTTTTATTCCATGTTTAATACTTTAAAGAACAAGGCATAGGCGTAAATTATTTTCTTCAAAATTAAAGCACCTATTATCTTATATTATGCTTCTATTTATAATACAAAATTTGTAATGTAAAATTTTAGTAATTTCTTCAAATTTTCGGCCTTTGCCATTAAATTTAAAGCATCACTTTTTCGTTTCATACAATAGAAGTAGAATGACAAAAAACATTTCTTCCGTTTTTTAAATCAAAATGCAATCAATTCGTTTTAACGTATGCATTAATATAATAAATTAAGAATAATCTTATATTTTCTCTAAATTGTATTTTTGTTGCACAACAGTATTGATTTACAATTCATGTATGTACATATAATGGAGATAAATATGCATTGAAGAGAGAAGCAATTTCAATGCAGTACAATCAAGTATGAGCATTATCTACAAAATGCAAGCTTCTGCAATTTATTTCATTTTTTCTCTTTCTCTATAAAATCCAACACCAGACACTCACGATAAGACCACAGATTAGCAAAATGAATTGTGTGTATCATGAATATTATACTGCTCCGTACTTATTGTGAAGATCAGTTTAATATAAAAGAAAATTCCACAAAATATTTTTTTGCGATGTTTTTTGTACTCCTTCAAACTGTTGATGTTTCACGATTTATGAAATCGTTTGAATATCCTATTTTTTAACTAATTTTTAAGTTAATAAAAATATTGCAACATATTTTTTAATATATGTATTAGGTGTTGGAATTAATTCGTAGCGTTTTTTAATGAAAGAATGTTATTTATTTCACATGAGCATTAAAAAATACATTAATAAAAGTACTTCCCATCACTTGTAAAACGCTACGAATTAATTCCAACACCTAATATTATTATTGTGCCACCTATTTACATGCATTTCCTATTTCTCATGTTCAATCATTAATTACTGGAAATATCATGATTTATTCAAGAAAAGTTTTTGTGTTATACATAAATTAGAATTTCATGCCATAAAAATTATTAGATATTAAAATATAAGCATACAATGCTTTTATATGTTCGATAATACTTTTATAAAATTTGCTACAATTTGCTACAACACGTTACACAATATCTCGACATACAATATCACAATTAGAGATCTCTCTAATTTTCTGAAATTGGCACTGTTGTATTTAATGAACAATTTTTTATTTTGTCTATTTGTTTTAGCATCAATCACAATTAAAATTGCAATTTTTTAGCTAAAGAGGCTCCTTCTATCGATTCTAACAGTTTTCTTTTCAAACTAGGTCTTTCTTCACGTTGACGTTTAATGATCATAGGTAGAGGCAATTTAGGTCCAGCTGTAGGTGCAGGTTTATTACTAAAGTATGGCATTTGCAATGCTTGATCACATGTACATCTTTCTAATGGATTCACATTCAAGAGACTAGCAATTAAGTCAAGAAGATCATCGCCAGCAGCAGTAAATATATGCTTCAAAGGCATGCCAGGAAAGGGCTTGAATTGAATAAAATCTGGTAATTCAGTCATCCCTTGCCATGTTTCTTCCGTTGGAGTACCTAATGTCTGAATAACAGAAATACATTAAGATTAAAGAAATAAAATAACTTTTCAGTTATATATTTTAGATCAGGCCTATCCAATTTGAGCTTTGGAGTCAAAATGCAAAACCATCAATTCAGAAAAATTCAATGTAAGATTTCACTGACTATAAATTGTTGAAAAACATCGATTAGACACATATCAACACTTTAAAGTCTCTGAAATCTTACCCATATTGATTTTTTTCTTCAATGGCTTTGTTTTGGCTCTAAAATTCAAATTAGACAGGCCTGTTTTGGATCAATGTATTAATACCTGAAATATTTTAGTGAGTTGATCTAAATCAGATTCACCAGGCAAAAATGGCACTCGCAATAGAAGCTCAGCTAATATACAGCCTACTGCCCACATATCAATGCCAGTCCCATAAAGTCTAGCACCATAAAGTAATTCAGGCGCTCTGTACCATCTCGTAACTACTTGATGAGTATTTATCCGGTTAGGTGACCCGAAAAATTTTGCCAGGCCAAAATCTCCAATTTTCAGAACACCTTCTGAATTTACTAATAAATTATTTGGCTTTAGATCTCTATGGAGTATCCAATTGAAATGAAGATAGTCAAGACCTTGTAGGGTTTGAATCATATATGTCTTTATGTTGGCTGCGGTTAAAACTATATTGCTATCTTTTATTATCACTTCCAGATCAGTGTCCATAAAATCGAATACTAACGATACGTTTGATTTATAACCAAAAACATCTAGAATTTTAATATATATATATATATATATATGTATAATTATTGAATATATACATATACAATCATTAAAATTAATGTTTATGCAAATTATATTATAGTTTGCAGGTTTATGCACATTATTTGCTTTTACTAGCTATTAAAATTTTCTACATATAAGAATTAAATACCTAATAAGCCAATGATATTGTCATGTTTTAACTCTTGCAGCAATTTAATTTCTCGTAAAGCAGTCCGATTTATGCCATCTCTAGCTTCAGCACGACTTCCAACTTTAATCTATATTTACAAATATGAAAAGTTTATAATACAAATTATATAAGTTGTAAAAATGTATATTTTTCATAATAAGGAAACTAACCTTTTTTACAGCCACAATTTTATTCGTCTCTATGTCTTTTGCTTTGTAAACCGTGGCAAACTAAAGTAGACAACACAATTTCTCTACATTTATGTTTATTACATTTTTATAATTAATAATTGAATTATATTGCAATTATAAACAAAGTTATGTATGTAAATATTATATGTTTAATATTTAAAATAGGTATCACATGATTATACGCTATTACAAGTAAAATTTATGTAATGCATAAAAACATTACAAAAATAAATAAATATATGATATAATATCAATTAAATCATAAGAAATGGTAAAAAACGTTCTAACCTGTCCTTCACCCAGAAAATCGATTTTCTCATATCTCCGTACTTTTTCTGTCATCGTCAGCAAAAGTTTATTCTAATTTATTCCAAAAGTTTATACAAGTTGTTTTTTCTTGATTACTTATTTTCAAACGTACGTGTGTGTGTGTGTATGTGTGTGTATGTTGTGTATGTGTATGATACGCTTGTACACAATAATATTCTACTTTTCTCATTGGACAATGGCCTAGTTTCCAGGGTTTCCGAGGGTTTAAATCGGATTAGAATATAAGAACCAACCAAATATAGTCGTTCGACTGTAATAGGGGAATACGTGTTTACATGACAATAAAAAAAACACAAAAAACACAAATGAATTTAGGGGCTCTGCACAATAAAAAGAATAGGAAATAGAGAATAGAGAATAAGAATGTCAGCCTATCAGAAATTGTATATTCCATAATATATGATTTTTGATAGGTTGAAATTCGTCGGGTGCAATTACATGGAGCAAGGTACGCGGTACAGTAACTAACTAGGCAACTTTAAGCAATTAGGAAAATAGACGGTACGCGATACGTGGTATGATTGGCACTGGACATAAATACACACTAGACATAACTACACCGTTGTGTTTGTTAATCAAATCAGCAAATGACCTCAACTTAATTGTGACTCATCGAGTGTAAAAGTAGCATAATATGGGTCATCTAAAAAGTATTCGCGGTATTTTGTCTATATTTTAACATTTATGTGTATCAAGAGATTAATAACATCTTCGAGATTATTTAAATAAGTTTCATTAAGTATTTTCATTACAAAATCTTTATTCTTACTATTTCATAAAAAATCGATATTTTGTGATCGATTTGTTTAATAGATTCTACATGAATTATCAAAACTTATCGGAAAAAACAAGATTAATTAATAAATGTTTTAATATTTGTTTGTGATAAATATTTTAATATTTAGTTATCGTTGCTGTTTTAATAAATATTGTAATAGTTGTTTCGCAAAAATTGAGAGGTGCAGTCTATACATCAAATCAATAATAAAAAATGATAAATATGCTGTAATAAATAGAAAATACATGAGCCATGAAGTAAACAACAAGACTTACGAAAAAGTATAATTCCTTGATTTAACTTTCATAAATTTTACATTTTATTTCTCATGACTTTTGTGTTTTATTTTGCATATATTTATGATCATTTTCTTTTGATCTTGTATACACTGCATCTCTCATGTTGTTCGATTAAGAACGGGAATAAAAAGAATCGGCCGGCGAGAGTGCGCCTTGAAGGCGAATCAGATCTTGTTTATCATTAATGAATCATAGTTTAATGTTTAATTCGTATACAAGAAAATTACAATAATTGATTGAATGAAACTATAATGAGAAAATAAATAAATTGTGTCTGTGTACGATAGCGTCCGATCCTGACTTCAATTTCTTCTTGAATGAGGTCAAAGAATTTTAATGAAGGACAATACTATATACCTAAAATATAGAAGCAAAGAAAAGAAAACGGGCTTATAAATCCCGTAACCTTGAACAGCGTGAAACCTGAGCCAATCATCAGATACACGATGAGTATGTACGGGACTTCGCCTGAGCTCAGGCCCCATAAAAATGTGATGGAGCGAGGAATCGCCTGAGACTGTTCATCAGGCGTGAGATAGATGAGCACGACTATTCAACAGTAATATTCGCGTATCTACCCAGAGCGTATCAGGTAGATCTATCCGAACCAGATCATTGGACATCCACTGGTGGTAGCGATCCACCGCCCAAGATCGTTCGTCGGGCAAGAAAATAATAGACTCAGCCAATGCGTTAGACACTATTCACATTCGTGCCGTATGGCAAAGACTAATAGAGAATCTCATTCCTCTTATCTGAGTCACCTTTAAATTCAGGACATAGATGATGATGAAAATCGAGGGCAACCGTTGATTTTAGATAAATTATTTTTTTGGTATCGAGCATAAAATATGCGTTCTCCTTTTTTTACGAAATCCGTCATAGAAGCAAAAAAAACTCGAAAATTGTCGTCAAGCCGATCGCGCTCTCGTCTACGCGCTATTGCGATGCGCGGAAGAAACAGGGTTGCGCTTGCGATACATGCTATTCAATTTTCGTCGCCTTTAACTCTTTTCGGGCTTGCTCGAACACATGTCTTTATTTTTGTGAAAAGTTTGTAAGACATCTGTTAAAGATCTTTCATATATAAGTTTATTACAATTAATGCAAGACATAAAGGGCTGGACATGTATTTGAAATATTTTTATTTGACAAATGGTATTTTCGTAATATAGTTGTATTTTATATTTTGTATTTCAATGGAGCACATGAAAGTATTTTGTATTTATAGTATTTCGAAGAGCACATAAAAATATTTTGTATTTTGTGTTTCAAATAAGATTGACAATCAAGCTTATTGTCTAAACAAAATACAAAAAATATTTTTATCTATCCATTTTGAATGCTTTTATGTGCTCCGCTGAAATCTAAAATACAATTGTATTATAAATATTATGACAAATTGATTGCCAGCAAACGAGAATGGATTGAAATGAATTGAAATGGATTCAGATTTTCAGAAATATTGATTCATGAATGTTAGAATGAATGTTTTTCAATCCTGAATGCATTTTTATTCATTTATAGGAATTGCATGTAGCATATCTCTATACATTTCAATCTAAAAATAATATTGGCTTTTTCTGTGCGTTGTGAATACTGTTCAATTCAAAATTTTGAATAGGAAATGCAGTTTTTCAATCCAATTGCATCCAATTGAATCCAATTGAATCCAAAAAAGTATTCGCTATTTAAAATACGCATTCGGATAGAAAAAAATTTCATTTTAATCCATTCTCGTTTGCTGGGATTGCCAATGGCATCCTTAGAACTGCTGTCAGTGATTATCCACTGATTCAGATTTAGATTATGCTTCCTTCCACATCTCTTTTCCTTTTCCTTTCTTTTTTTCCTCTCTTTCCTTTTAATTTTTCTTTCTTTTTAATCCCTTCTTTTCTATGCATAATTTAATACCGTTGATAATGTTGAACTGAAAACCAATAACTGAAAATAAAACACAAAGTATTGCTTTTTTATGAAATAGTAAGAATAAAGGTTTTATGAAAATACTTAATGAAACTTGTAAGTAGTAACTTAATGAAACGAGTAATCTTGTAGACGTTATTAACTTCTTGATATACATAACGCAACATTCCGCGATGACAGCCGTTCACGAACAGTTCACGAATTATTATGTATTACACTACTTTTACACTCGATCGGCGCAAACTAACGAATTACTACTTATAAATATTACCAATCCGTAGAAAATAAAACTATGGTGCCTCAAGAGTTTTTGTTGCTACCAACATTACCCTCTTTTTTTTTTATGAAAATTGTGTAATCCCGCATGCCCATGTGCTTGCTTGCGGTGCGTCGAGAGTGAACGAGGCAGCTCCTCGCACTAGTCGCTTGTTTCAAGCGACCGAAAATGCTTTCTCGGCAATCTCGGCTGTTCGACGGCCCTAGGTATCAATAAGGGGTGAGGGGCATTCTAAATAATAATAATATGTAAGTTTTAATAAATTATAGTAATAGTGTATCCCTTCCATTAATCCAGAATAGTAGTCAAAGTCTCGCTACAAATGCTTTGAAGTGTTTGATGGACCAATTAGAAGAAAGAATTTTACAAACTGACCAATTAAAAAACGCTTCAAAGCGTTTGCAACGCGTTGATGATATCCTATAAATCATGTTAAAACGCAATAGTTTATGAGATATTTAATTGTTTACGATTTTTCATGCGCGTTATATAGTATACCTCCCCTTCATAAACTCGAATAGCAAGAATAATTTAGTAGAAGTAGAATTTTACCGGAAAAATTATAAACCAGCATTTCTTTTCCAGCAGGAAACAATGATTTTCGGTCGCTTGAAACAAGTGATTAGTGTGAGAAGGAGCTCGCTGTCTCGTTCACTCTCGGTGAATACACCCCATCACGAAAAATAGATGATTTTATTATTAAAAGTATCATTGAAAAATTCATTGAAAATGAATGGCGTTTTCAATAATATTTTATAGTAAGCTTGAATGAGTTTTTGCCAATGATAATATTTTATCACTGAGGATTTTATCACTGGCTAGTAATGGTTTTTATGGGTCATTTATTTTATAGTTAT